AAACAAACAAAAAAGAATGAAAAACAAAACAAAGAAAACTTGCACACACTTCAAGAATTTCCATATAGTGTTTTGCTTTTCAAACCAATATAAGCAAATATTTAGGCAGCCATAAAATCCCACTCCCCAAACAAATTATTCTTTTTGTAATTCACTATATATGTATCTCTTATTACTCAAAATTTCTTGCTCCATTATTTTTACTTCTCAACAGACTTTTATTTRTAGAAGAGAACAGCGACACATTTACTTTGTTCTCACRAWATAAATTTTTGTTAGTGATAATACCGATAAATAACAGAAAAAATGGAAACAAATTAAATGAGGAAGAGCATCTTGTAAAAGGAGTATTTTGRCAGCATGAATTTATGATGTAAAGGAAACAACTCTCAAGTTAAAATAACTTGTTTTAAATTCCTCTTGGTCTCAATTTTCTCATGTAAACAATGAGATTATCTCCCAAGGCTCTTCTGATTTAGAAATTCTATGGACCTAGAAACATTGAGTTCAGTTTCTCAAAGACTAAGAAAAATAGAATAATGATTTGAGAAAAGATGACATTATCATTCAGCAAAATAGATGATTCAGCTGAATTTGAAGTTGGAYTTGTGCAAATATAAAGAAGGTCAAATATTCAGAGGTAGGTGACTTTCCATGCCTGCTCAAGGCCCGTCAGATCCCACCCTCATTGGGTACACAGAAGGTTTAGCCTGTTCATTAGGTTTTCTCAGGAGCAAGGCCCCACTCTAAGCCCTCTTTTGAACCTGTGAGCCCTAAGATCTGAGTCAGGACTGAAGGTGAGAGCCTGCTAGTTGAGCCTGTTGTCAAGGTTCCTGGTTGCTAAAGCTGAATGTCTATTCTTGGTTCACCTGGACAATATATCCTTCTTTCTTCTCTGAAGAAATTTATAGGAAATCTCCAATAATAATATAAAAAAKCTATTCTAGTTTCTTAACAACATTTAGAAGTGCTTACACTATAGATTGAAATGTTAAGTATACTATAAGCCAAAAGAACTTAAATATCAAAATGTAGTAATAGCTGAATTAATCCGTAACATGTTGAATCAAAGGATTCTTCACTGAAAAAAAGTTTTAGACTCTTAAATGTTAAAATCCTTCCAAAATTTAAATGTTTTAAATGATTTTTGTTTTAATTCAATTTAACAGCAACATTTCACATAATAATTATTCTTTCCTTCACTCACTGAATTAATATTATATATCCCTTTAAACTTGCAGGTAGGAGCAGGCATGAAGAAGAAAAATCATTTTTTTTCATTTCTAAATACTTGCAATCTACAACTCAAAAATAAGATTTAAATAACCATGAAAAAAGTGGAATGTTCTTAAAAAGTAAGATAAAATATAGAGTAGTTTTTTAATCAAAGAAAAAAGGAACCAAAGAAAGGCACATTTTAAAAATTCAGTTTTGCCTAGGGCTGGTGTATGGCTCAGCGGTAGACTGCTTGCCTAGCACATTGGAGGCCCTGGGCTCAATCCTCAGCACCACATAAAAATAATTAAAATAAAGGTATTGTGTCCAACTACAACTAAAAAATAATTATTTTTTTAAATTCAATTTTGCCCCAAAATTTATAAAATATTTAAAAACATGTTAAAATAACTGTAAGCAAATAAAATTTTGCATTATCATTCCCAAGGCATAAATGAGAAAATAAGGCAAAGCAATTTTATCAGGGCAAATAATAATTCAGCTTGTGAATCCTGAACTATTTAAGTCTAGAATGTAATTTCATTTGCCATATAAGACTACCTTCCTACAAAACCAGAAAGATGTTATTTCACAGTCACWTAAATATGAAGGGATTTAACCTTGAATAGAACAGCAAATTATATACTACTACTGATCTTCTTAACATTTTGATTTTTATGTTCTTCCTTCTCACCATGCATTTGTAATTTTCCTTTTTTTAAAAAAAATTTCCTCTCTTTTCAATTCATTACATTCCTTTCTTAACTATAGACTCCTTTGATTACCTTATATTATTTTACACAAATGCTTACAATGTTTTTCAAGAGCTTTCCATTAAGGTATTTGCATAGATTTAATCWGGAATTTGTTTAGAATAAAAAAAAAATGTAGAGAAAAAAATGTTATCATGGATCTTGCTTTGCTGGCATACCTTAAACAAATAAGCTAAATTAACAATAGAATTACTAGGATGAGCAAACTATATTGTAAAAATCTTAAATAATTATTGATATAAATATCTCATAATTCATTTGCCATGACAACAGTTCTCTAAGTTACTTCAGTTAAATAAATTCAGAACAACAACTACTCAAATCACTCCACGCCTCCTTCCCTAGCTTCTGGTAACCACTATTATACTCTCTACATCTATGAGATCAATATTTTTAGATTCCACATATGAATGAGGTCATTCAGTATTTATGTCTCTGTGCCCATCTTACTTGGCTTAACAAAATGTCCTCCAGGTTTATACATGTTGTGCAAATGACAGGATTATTCTTTTTTTCATGGATGAATAGTATTCTGTTGTATATAGGATAAAAAAAAGTTCAAGAAATCTATTATGATCATGATGACTATACCTARTGGCAGTATATTTTATTCTTTAGAAATAGTAAGAGAATAAATTTAAGTGTTCTGATCACAAAAATAATTACTATGTGAGGTAAGGCATATTTTTAACCATTCCATAATGTGCACTTGTGAATAGTTGAAAACATCATGTTGTACGTGATAAATGTACAATAATTTTATCTATCAACTAAGAAGAGGGGGAGGGCTAGATAAAATAAAGACCTCAATGGTCCCAATTTGAGATGACCTTATCACATTCTCCAATCAATATTGATATATCCCAGCTTGTATTTCCCTAAGACCAGAAGCACAAATTCAATTCTGCAAATATTTCTATTAAACATAATATCTACRAGCAAATTTTGTCACATTTTAGTTGAATTTTGATATTCCAACTTTTATAAGTATTCATTAGTTGGTATCTATTCACTGTCCCATTTCAATCCAATAATGTAAATTACTAAGTTATATTCATGGTTTAAATTAATCAACATGAACTGCTGATGTTTTTATAAATTAATTTTTGAAAACTAGCTTAATCTTCAAATAAATATTAAAAGCCACAGTGGCAGTGACATTGAAACCAGGTCTAAATACAACTTTGTCCTTTATACATGTGGAACAGATTTTAATTAGTATCCAGGAAATTCACCTTGTAAATTTTTTCTTCTTTATTTTTGCCCTTGGAAGCAATTGTAATTGGAAAATCAGAAGGTTATAACTTGCTGAAAGTGTTTAATCTTTGTGTGCATCATGTGCTAATGAAAAATAGCATTCAGGAAATTAGTACTGTAAAGTCTGAAAATTAGTCTTGCCCAATAATGACTATATCTTGTACACACATTCACACACACACAAGTGCACACATATGAATGCATGCACACACAGACTGTATGTATTGGAGAACTGGTACCATGTTTTTTGAAGTCTTCATTGTCCTATTAATACTAAAGATAAGAGATAGATCCTAAGTAAAAGAATTAATATGTATTGATATCAACTTAAAATTTCATCACACATCTTAAACAGTGTATTTTCACCTTTATATGATAAATGTTTTGCATATGTAAATGCTGCTCCCACATAGCAATTTTAATATGAACTTCATTAAAATATTATTTTTCTTGATGCTAATATAAAAAATAAGTGGAAAAGCATTTATTCACATTAAGTAGAAGAAATCAGCTACTCAAATCCAAAGGAATCCAATAAAATTGGAAATTCCTTAGTTAAACGAAAACAAAAATAAAAATGAATCTTATTCTACTTAATGATCCACATTGGCGAAGAAAACATGTTTAAACTCAGGGCATTTTTCTTACCAACTCCACACATTATTTATAGATCTCCAAGTTATCCATTCCTTCTAATACCGTCAAATATAACCAGTAGAATTTTGTCTATTGTTACAACTTTTTTTCTACTTAATTTAATGAAATTAATGTTTAGAAACAATTAAGTTGAAAAGGATACAAATAAATAATATGGATACTTTCAGATTTTCCAACTACATTTCTATTTAAGGGTAATTGTTTAGTCTTACATCTTCAGTCAAAATGAAGATAGTATATGTTATAGTTTAGATCCAGAATGTCTTCCAAAAGTTTGTGTATTCAAGGGTTGGTCCCCAACTGGCAGGATTACTAAAATGGTGGATACTTTAGGATTTGGTGTCTAGTTGGAAGAGGTGGGTCAATGGAAGCTTGCCTTTGAATGACAAGTTTTGTCCCTGGACTCTTTTCTCTCTCTGTTACTCAGCCACCATGAGGTGAACAGCTCTGCCCTGCCAAGTTCTCTCAGCCATAATATTCTCCCTCACCACAGGTTACAGCTATGAACTGAAACTTCTGATACAATATGCCAAAATAAACCTTTCCTTCCTGAAGTTGACTTTCCAGGTATTTTGTTGAAGCAACAAAAAGCTGCCTAACTACAGAATAACACTTTAAAAACTGACTCCTTCCCTTGGCTTGGCACTGGAGCCATTGCATGATTTTAGCTGATAGAAACCAGCTGTGGTCAAGGTGATGTAGAAAGGGCAGGTTAGTCAAAGGACATTTCTAGGTAAGAATCTACCCACATACCAGCTACTTTTACTCTGTGGTTTGGGAAACATGGCCAACACAGAGAAATTCCAATGTATGAAGATTAAAAGCAAAAAAGCAAAATAGTAGAAATACACCTCTTGATAGTTTTAAGTGGCAATGTGGCCTTCTTGTAAGGTGTTTTTTTTTTTTTTTTTCTTAACGAGTTAAGAAACTTATGACATAGCCAAATCATTCCACAAAAGACTGAGTGAAAGTAGAATGTGCTCTTCTTTTTAAAATCATGATATCTTCTAAGTTATATATTAAATAAATACATRAACATATTTAAATTTACATSAAACTTATTAACATGCAAAAGTACATAGTTTTTAAGTGTCTTACCTCCTTTGAAGAAATATTACTTCCTGAGGTACATCTCTTCAGTCCTTTGGTTGTTTTAAGGACCTGGAAACTTCAAATACCTTAAAATACCTTCAAAATAAACAAGTTCATTTTAGAATTCAGTATGCATCACACATTTAGCCTATAATTATTAGCCTATAATAAAAATTGAAAGTCAATGTAAAATTCTTTAAACTACCTCAAAATTTTGAACAGGAATATAAAATGTGGGAAGGGAAAAAGATGTTATAGGAGGCAGGCACTAATKTATAACATTTTTTCACTCTAGCTCCCCCCTCCGAATTATATTTGTATTCACTAATTGAGGTGCATGAAATAATTTATCGTTTGAGCTCTGACTGGTATAAAATTAACTGATTTATTGAGAATTAGTTGAAACACTGTTGTGCTCTATTGAAGGTCCTGTGACCATCAGTGGGGGAAGAGGGACATCTATGATGCTATGATGTCATTAACATTTTTCACCACTGAGGATGAAAGTGTAACACTGACAACCCCACTAAGCAGTAGTTTCATAGCATTATTAGCAAGTAACTGATTTCACTTTACAAAGGTTTTCCTGAATAAATATCTTAAATTATAAATGTAAAATTTAAACAAAGTTTTAAATAACAGAATTTTTCAAATATAACATTGAAAACATGCTWTGAACAATTTCATTTTACTAAAATACATTCTTTATAATGTTGATTATACACTTATTTGAATAAATAAGGAAACAATTTATAAAATAAAGACAAAAGAAATCTGGGGTAAAAATGTAAAGTTTTGGCAATTGGGAATATGTATATATTTTTTCAAGATAAAATATGTAATAGAGATTCAGTAGCTAAGTTGTAGTATTATTAAATATTAATCTTATCAAAGTCAAAAATCAATGAAATGATACAAATTCAAAAGTAGTAGTTATTTCACAGTTATTTCCAATTCTGAATTACTTTTTACTTTACAATTGAGAAATATTTCTATATTATTGTATTGTTAAGAAATACAGAATATTTTATCCTACATCCACTGATTCAACAGATATTAATTGAACTCCTTTCTATGTGACAGGATTAGAGAAAACTTACAAGAGTTGATTCAAACAAACAGATAATCTATTATCCCAAATATGAATACAAACAGAAAACTCAAATGTGAATATCATATCAAATATCTTTTGGATACATGCGTCATGAGATGGTGAAATTGTTTCAAGGTAGTTAGTTATTAGATAGAAATCAAGACCCCTGGTGAGAAGAATCAATTTATGGAGGGATTAATGGTTTTGAAGACTCTGACTATTGAAATTATCATAATACATAGCAAGAACGGAGTTTGAGAAAGTCAGGAGAGACAAAATCTCTACAGAAAAGGGAAAGTGACCAAAGTTTGGTGGCAGACCTGGGGTAGGTATGTAGTAGTTCACTGGTAGAAAGCTTGCCTAGCATGTGTCAGACCATAGGTTCAATTCCCAACACCAGAAAAAAATATTTTTTGGAAAARTGGACTACTAGCAGGTGTTATCTACTAATGTCATGAGAATCTAGCTATAAGATTTTAAACAGGAGGAAGAAGAGTGCTCAGGAAGTGACACTGAAAGGTAGAGAACATTGCCTCCACTCTAATCTCAGTGACTTAAGTGGTGTGGGAGGGTAATAGCTAGTTCTTGAAAGGTGATATAAGAAGCAGTGTCATTGGGCTTCCTTGGAGAGAAGATAAGAGAAATACACAAAAGAAGTTGAAGATAAAGGGGATCTGTTGGGATGTGGAGAGCAGTGACCTGAGCCATGGTTTCTGATTCCCTCATGGTTGCTTTTGCCTAGGAACTGCCTGAAGACTGTGCAGGTCAAGACAGCCCAGTTGCTATGGTAATGACCAGCCAGAGGAGGCTACTGCAGAGGAACATAGCTGACCTCAGACACCAAATCCAAGGAGTAGAGAATACTATGCATGACAAGATAGGTCCTTCAGACTGTCTGCTTTGCTAMAACTTTCTTAAAATAACCTTCTGATGACAAAACCTATATAATAAATATGCTGAGCTAGCTCTGATATCAGTCAAGGCTCATCAGGGCTTAGCTTTCCCACCTGGCCCCAGCTTTTTCTCTGTGTGTGTCTGTTTGTCTTTTCTTCATCCCCTCATCGCCCTTTTGGTTTCTGAATAAATGGCTATGCTGGCCACAGCATTGGGATGCTCCAACAAGAACAGTGAGGGGTATAGAGAGACAGAGAAAAATGGAGAATGAGAATTAGAGTCTTGGGGATCAGAGATAACTTGGTAGTTTTAAGATATTTTTGGTGACTCAGGTAAAATAAGAATGTGAGACAATAATGATAGGAAAGGCTATGAGAGCCAGAGGGGTGGGGAGAAGGGATGGTTGTGAGACCTATCAGCAGATATGAATTTCTCTTGACTTATAAATTAAATCTTTCTAKATTAACGGAAGGGCAGTCTTTCTCACAATGGCTTTACAGATCACTGGGAAAATATGCCACATGGGGGATTACTGCTGCTTTACATAGTGCTATAATGTAAGAGGATAAAAGATGACTGGGTATTCATGTTTAGGATGGTCAGGGACTCCTCTTGGAGTTTGTGACATTTTATCTGAGATCTGAAGGAAGAAACCGCAGGAATATCTTGAAAGATAAAGAGTATTCTAAATCCAAAGATTAATAAATACAAAGCCTCTGAGGCAAGACCATGAACAGAATAGTTTAGAAACAGCAATAAAGTCAACATGTAATACCTGAGATCACTGATGAGAAGAAAGTGGAGATGCAATAATAACAAGGTCATAACTATAAACCAAATTTCAGCAGATAACAAAATGAACTTTAAATATTGGCAAGATCTATGCCATGAATAACATTYCYWRKTTWMMAMMA